CAGCGCCACTCCTTTGTATTCTCAGATAAGCAACTTTTCTCTGGTCACACAACTTGCAGGGTTACAAGCTGAGATAGGAACCCAGGCATGTGTATATTAGCACCCTACACTTCACATTTGAAACAACAGGTCACAGAAGACCTGGAATCCTTCAGTAAATGATGAAAATTCCTGTATCATCAGTTATGTAAGAGAGAGGTAAAAATGAGGGCCGCCATTGCCAGAAGGGTCTGCTAGCTGATGCCAAGGCTATTGTTTGCTCAAAGCTGCTTCAGAGTTTTAGCCTCTGGACAAGAGCTATGTCCTTCACTTCTTTATGGGATTTCCCACTTTGTTAACGGCAGTGGGCTGCTGTGCTGAACTGTTGGTATGAACTGTAAGATCAGTGGTTCAAGCTCACCAGCTGCTCCTAGGAAACCCTATATGGGGTCGCTATTGGTCAGAACTAACTTGATGGCACACAACATCAATATATAAGAGAATTTATAATATTGCTTTTATTACAATAATGAGTGTGTGTTTGTTTGCAAAACAAGATTGTATTTTCTGTCAGAATTACATTTATTTCTTGTATCTTCCTCACTCACCTTATTTTTGCACAGACAAAAGTACATTTTAAAATATGTGTGGGGCGGGTGGGGAAGGAAAAAAATAAAATATGTATAACACTGGGAAAATTATTTTGTTTTGTAGCTCCTTGTTTCTTGTTTTCTTCATGTACTTCTTTGTTTTGGCTTCTCCTGGGACCCTCTCTTCTTGGCAATAACCTGGCACAGCTGAGTTCAGAATGTAAATACTGGCTACTTAACCATGTTTCCTTTCTTTGTCCTTAGGGAGGTTAGATGTCTTTCCTTTGATTCACTGGGGGCACATGCCTCCTTGAGCCCCTGGAGGTGAGCACTCCTGAGGGAGCCCTTGTCCTTCTGTTTGTACTTACAGGGGAACTTCAGACATGCAGGCAGCAGCGCGCCGGTGTCTCGGGAAGAGCTGATGACAGTGCTGTCTAGACTGGAAGGTGTGCGCATCAGAGGCCTCTATTTCACCGAGACGCAGCGGCTCACCCTGGGCGAGGTGGGGCTGGAGCAGGCCTCCGACTCAGGAAGGGGAAGTGTAGCACATCATGTAGAGATGTGTTCCTGCCCCCCCAGCTATACTGGTGACTCATGCCAGGTAGGAAATTTCCCTCTACTGTAACATTTCCAGAGGGGACTTCTGGGATGGGCTCTTTCTGGCTGCTGGCCAGCACTGCAGGACAGTTTGGACACCCGTGTCCATTGTATATGCTTCTTCTGGGCATGGCTTGCATTTTACCTAGAGTACCTTCAGGTGTTAAATACACAAGAGAAATGAAAAGTATCTCAAAAGGTACAGGAAATAACCACAGAGGATTAGAGTGGAGAGGGAAGCGTCCAGCTGATAAGAAGAGA